GTGTGTGTGTGTGTGTGTACAAAACAAAACAAAAAAAAAACTCTACGCTTAAGCAAACAAAGGCGGCACGCCGACTTTGAACGCGTGAGTAGGGGACATCATCCCAAATCACTGGCTCGCCGCGCTTTGGTGCGCTGCCGGCTCGTTTGGCTACACGCCAGCTTTCGAGCGCTTTGTTTACACGCCGATCGGCGTCACCCGGCACCAAGGGGTTAAAAAAGTCCCCAACTTACGAACAAAATGGGGACCGAGAGACTGTTCGTAACTCCATTTGTTCGTATATCCAAAGTCGGGTCTCCATTGCCTTTTTTCCCATAGTTTTAAAGTTTTGTTTACATTAAGAATACCTGAACATAAATCCCAGTAAGTATTTTTGATGGATTGATGCACAGGTAAAGCGAATTATGGCACAAAAATTGGCGGTACATGAGGACACAGTGAACAGATGCTTTCGTGTTTTGGCTGGAGGGCAGGCGACTGAGGCGAGTGATGCGCACAGCTGAGTGAACGCGGCAGTGCCACGGCATGGCAGACTTTTAAAAAATTTGTTCGTATGTATGGAATGTTCGGAAGTAGGGGACTTACTATATTAGGAAGAGAGAAAGAAAAAGCACTCACCTGCATTTTTGACACCCATGAGTCTACGGAACTTCTCTGCCATTTTCCCGTCACGGTCATTGGAGAACTTGGTGTTGGCCCAAAGGGACGCCTGGCCGCTCCCTGTCGCTCCACTCAGCGGCCCGGCACTCATCTCCATCTTGGGCTGCGAGACGCCTGCCTGTTCCAAACCTGCGCTCTGGCTGGCAAGGGCACCGAGGCTGCCATAGAGGGAAGAAGTGCCTTCGCTTGCGCTGCCAGTGCCATCTGGCTTACTCTGGGGTAGGTACAGACAAGGAATTAGTGTGTGTGTGTGTGTGTGTGTGTGTGTGTGTGTGTGTGTGTGTGTGTGTGTGTGTGTGTGTGTGTGTGTGTGTGTGTGTGTGTGTGTGTGTGCGTGCGTGTGTGTGCATATTTTCTTGTGAGCATGTCCATGGGGTGTGGCGAGTATGTAAGTATATGTCACAAATCAGACTTACTTTTCCAAGAATGAAAAAAATGACTGCATGGAAAGTATACTGCAAGTTCCCTACATACTTACCCTTTCTTAATTGAATAATGAAAAAGAAAAGGAAAAAAAAAAAAAAAAAAAAAAAGTCTGTATCTGTTGTCTACAAAAAGCAATAAAGACTATGAAGCAGGGGGGGGGACATACTCACCCTTCCAGAAGCACTACCGTCTCCCCCTTGCCCCACCATTCTATCCCATACCCCACCATCCTATCACATACCCTGCCATCCTATCCCATATCCTACCATCCTATCCCATACCCCACCATCTCCCCCATGCCCCACTATCTCCCCCTATGCCCCACCATCTCCCCCTAAGCCCCACCATCCTCCCCATGCCTTACCATCCCCCCCCCCCACCAAGCCATCTTCCCCATCTCCCTCCCCCTCTCGGCACATCTTACCTTATTACCCCACAGCAGCTTCTTCTTTCTCTCCTGCTCGGCAAACTTCATGGGGTTCATGGCCGCCGGGTTGTAGTACGACGGGAGGGTGATGCCCGTCTGCTTCTGCACCTCCTCCACCTGGGCCTCCATGCTCCTTCTCAAAAGCTCTGCCGTGGTCAGATCTGGGTTCGCTGCTTTAAGGGCAGCCAATTTCTGCTGAGCTTCTGTAGGAAAGACTATTATAAATATGCTGTAATAGCTGATCCAGTAATCACAGCAAAATCATACTCCATTCACCCTGCCTTTTGCTCGATTTTCTTTGTCAGTCCGCATCTGTCTCCCTCCCTCCCTCCCTCCCTCACTCACTCATTCACTCACTCTCTCACTCTCTCACTCTCTCACTCTCTCCCTCCCTCCCTCCCTCTCTTTCTCATCTGCTGCCTTGTCAGTCTATTGGTCTGTGTATTTTCTGAATCTCTGCATGCTCTATCTCTCTTTCGTTATTCCACATAGCTTCCAGACAGTTGCACTTCCATAAAAATAAATAAATAAATAAAATAACAAATAAAACCGAATCCAAGTTCCAGTGATGGGAAATGGCAGGATAATAAACGAAGAAACAATAAAATCAAAACATCCATAACAAATAAAATATAAATAGCATGAGCAATAATTACATCCATAAAATATAAGTAACATAAAAAGCCAATAACATAAAAGGAAAACACATCATAACTTAAGAATAACATGTAATCTATGAAGGTGTACTTAGAAAAAAGAAAAATCTGTTCAATCCTGAAAACTTACGACATAAAATATAAAAAACTAAATATTAAAATATAAAAAACCTAATAATATTACTAATATGAAAGAATTACTAAGAAACGACATAATAAAATAAATAAATGAATCAATTAAATAATTATTAAAAAGGGAGGCCATGGGTAAAACAGAGAAACTGAAGAAGAATGCCAGAATGCAAAACCAAGTTCATCACAAGCATCACCT